GTAGAGAGTAGAGAGAGAGAGATGGTTTGTTTTGCAGGTATCCTGAACTGGGGAGCTAAGAATAAAGAGGAGGGCGGGATTTAAAGGTGGGTTTTTGGCTCTTGTTTATTTGGGTTTTCTTTTTCTATTCTTTATTTGTGCATGGTAATGAGTAGTTTATTCTTTTTTCAAGTTGTAAAGCAAGGAAGCCCACTCTTTGAAGAATGAATATTTTTTTGTAGTAAAAAAAAAAAGAAAAAAACAAATAGGAAAGAGAGAGTAAAAAAAAAGAAAAGAAAAAAAAAATACTAGAATGGCCGGGTCTTGAGTCTTGACCAAATTAGTGTACATATAACGTCAGGTTTTTTATAAGGAGTCTACCTCTAAAATTTGTCGAAAGATGTAGTTCGAAGATTATGATGGCTAGAAAATCTATACTCGATATTAATTATGAAATTTAAAATTTAAAAAATGGAGTAGATCGAGTTGATCTATAAGCACATATTCATTCTTGATCTTGGTTGCCATCATTTCAAAGGCTAATTGTTTCTATTATTTAAAAGAAAAAGTATCCCATCGGGTGGAAGAGTGGAAATGTAGCAAGGCCATATCCAACGATTGGGAATTAGTTTAATACTTTATTTTTACTTTTATTTTAGTAAGATATTTGATTTCATTTTTGGTGTAGGTCTATTTTATAAATATAACTAAATAAACATGATTAAAAAATATATAATATAAAAAAATCAAAATGCCCTTATTATTTTGTTCAATATTTTTTATTAAAAATATGCGGCGAGTCAAGAAAATGATAGAATTTGAAATGAATGCATTCAAACGAATTTAAGTATGGCTTCAATAAGAAATAAGATGAGAAGAAGTACCCTTAGATGGGATGAGCGTGTGCGATGCCAACTTACAATACATGTTAGTAGCTACCAGGGGTGGACTCAAAGGGACATAGTAAGAAATAATGAAAAAATATATATGTAAATTTATGGGCTCATTGAAAGTATGATTCTTGATAAAGCTGAAGGGATTAAGATTCACATAGGCGATCCCAAAGAATTGGGAAAAGACTTTGATGATGATTTTTCATTAAATTTTTTTTATTCAATTTCACTTATAAAATTACATCTAAATACCAAATTTTAAATTAATAATCTTTAAAAAAAAATTTAAAAATGAACTAACAAAAATTACTATGGGAGAGAAAAACATTTTAAAATTACGGTGGTTGCATATTTATCCCGGTAATTTAGGGGTTGACAAATATTACAGCACACAGCCAGAGTATATATGCTCGTATACACGCCCCCCAACACAAAACACACTTCATTTTTCGCTGTCAAATAATAAAGGAAAAGAGAGGCAGAGGGTTTGTAGAGAGAGAAGAGAGGTAGAAGAAAAGATAGAGAAAGAGGGGTTAGTCGGATAGAGAGAGAAACTTTTGGAGAAAAACAAGGGAAAAATGAGGTTTGTAGGGGTGAGAAGACAGGTAGAGTGTATTTTAAAGAGAGAAAATCTCATGTATGTAGGTATAGAGAAAAGGGTTTTTAGAGAGAGAGAATAGGGGATCAAAACTCAACCCAGGACCCGAGAGATAGATCCGATCTGTGTTTGGGTATGAGTTCAAAAATTGGATCTTGCAGGTTGGATCTAGATTCGATAATATTTTTTGAACCTTCACATATTTAAATATGAACCTTCACATATTTAAATATAATTAAATAAATAGATATTTTAATTTTTGGGTCAGATCCAATTGAGTCGGGGTCCGGGTACTGACCTATTTGCCATCCATTGGAGAAAGAAGGGATTTATAGAGAGAATAAGACATGTTTAGAGAGAGAGAGAGAGAGAGATGTATTTTATGTGTGTGTTGGTGAGTGTGTTTTAGAAGTCCAAGGTAGAACTAAGGTTGTAGTGGCAGACTGGCAGGCCAACTCAAGCCAACTACTCAAGCAAATAAAAAAAATGACTTATTAAACTATTTCAATAAGGTACAAGCAAATAAAAAAAGAATTATGTAAATGTTCCAACAAGGTACATAAATCTGTAAATGCTTCATGCCCTCATGTGAATCCCCCAAGTTTCTACCTTTGTTATTTTCACAACTTGTAGAATTCTATTGCGTGGTCCTGCTGGAGCAAACCTTATACTCAAAGCAGTGGGTGAAAGTATGAAAGAATGATTTAGTAGTATTTTTTTTATCTAAATTTTAGTATTATCTTTAAATTTTTTCCCCCCAGAAGTTTTGATTAGAAGCTGATTTTGTTTGGAACTGTATCTTATTTTTTTGATGATAAAAAAATTGTAAAAAAAAAAATGATACTGTTCCAAATGAAAGTGTATGGTATATAACCTTATTTGGTATCTCAAATGTAACATTTTCGGTAATGGCTGGTCTTTCAAAAACTAAGAGACAAGTTTTGCAATAAGCCAATGACGAACAAATTGAGACCTAGCAAGAACAAAACTCAAAACGTCATGCTGTACCACCCATCTACTCTCACCACATGTGCTTTGAGTTTTTTATATCGTTTACTTGCTATATAGTCAGGAAAATTTATCAAAATAGACTAAATTTATCAGCTATTTAATCTGTATATAGCTAGTTCTTTGAGTTGTTTATATCTTTTACTTGTTATAGTCAGGAAAATTTATCAAAATAGACTAAATTTATCAGCTATTTAATCTGTTTATAGCTAATTCCAACTCGTGTTCTCGGGGATCTGGTGGCTTCTTTGAATGAAATCAAAAGATATAAATAAAATATTAACAGTTTGTATTTTAAGTAAATTTTGGTAATTTCCCTTATTTTTGCAATTGGGGGCTAGGTTCATGGTGAAATGCAGCGCCCAAAGTGAACTTCTAAGTAGGTTTATTCCTGGGGGGGCGTGTACCCGCGGGAACACAAAATTGTTTACTTAATTAACTACCTTGAAAGTCGAAATTTCTGGAATCCTCTCCTCCCCCTCCCCCCAATGTTCTATATTTTACTGTTTCTCTCTCTATCATGCATTCCCCAGAGCTCAGTAGTCTATTTTGCAGTTGTCTGTTTCTCTCTCTACCATACGCTCTATAAATCAATACTTTATTTTGTGTTTGTGCTGTTTCTCTCTCTACCACCATTGTGGCCTTTGGTCAAGCCTATTTTCCTGGCACTAAGTTAAGCCTTGCTTTTGCCTTTTTTTCCCTCTAATACTAACCGCTGTAAAAAAAAATATTAATGTTTTTTGTTTTTTTTTTTTAAAAAAGTAGATTTAAAATATGATTAAACAAAAAAAAATTAAATAAAATTAAAAATTAATTAAAAATATTTTAAAGAATTGATTTGTACTTAAACATGTAAGCTCTTTACATGTTTTGCAGCACTCCTCCAACGTAGGTGATGACCATATGTGTTACTGTGCTAATATGAAACATATTGTGCTTTTCCTGTATGAATTATTCAAATAAGGGAAGATATTGTATGCTCCATCGGTAGTAAATTGTACACTTGCTTCTTCGGAAAATACCTACACAATAGTTACGTTTGGACACCAAATTTTGGGATGTAGTCTACTCAACGTAATATGGTAGTCCCCTTGATAGGCCGTATTGAGCACGGCATACACCTATTGTGTGCGAGAATGGGGTTGGGGTCATGGTTGTAGCCCACTTGAGCTCGAGCTAAGGTTTAAGCTTCTATTATCTCCTAACACATTAAACAACTCTTAATGATTTAAAAAAACAGGTAGGGGCTTGCGATCCCTAATGATCCCTACTGAATTACCTTAAAAAAAAAATACACCCATTGTCAACTTCACTTATAATATAAATAATTTAGGGTGTAGTTTTTATAAGGTTGCAACTTTAAACAATCCAATTAAGATGCATCTCCATAATGCATCATAATATGTAATTTTGGGGTAAAACATTATTAGGATTATCTCAAAATCTATTTTCAGATCTAATTATAAAATTTTAAATTTAAAAAATGATTCAAACCAAGAAGATCTAGCAACACTTGGAAAATTTAAAAAATGGACGGTCTGAAAATATGTTACGAGATACACTATTTTTAGGGCTCAATCTTTTTTTCTTTTCTTATTCATCATCTTGACATCGAGATGCTCAATTAGAAGGTTTCCCAACATCGAAACAACCTTTTATGATGAATTTTTGATAGAGCAATGATCCAATGCTAAGGTTGTATCATAGTATAATGCAACGACATTTTTAGAAAACCATGTTCGTACTATTTGTTCGTGGGGGGGGACGGGGGGTAAGGAAGATGCCGAGGTCTTAATAGAAAGGGGTTGATAGTCCCGTCTGCTAGGCTTTTCCGAACTTCCCTTTGCCTTTCTGCCCGTGAAATCCTTTTCCTCGGCACCCGTGTGACCCCGGTTGAACCGGTCCACCCTCACCTAGAAATCGAATGACCTAAGAAGCAAGGGAGGAGTCATTGTTGAGTTGAGCAAAAACCATGAATCAAGGTGATCCCCATCCGAATATCGTCCAAAGGATTTACAACTTTGTACACTGGCTATTGAATCATCTGGGCCACATCTGCGGAACCCGGACTGGCCTTCCTGCACTTTTTCGTGATGCGCCTTATGGTGACCAATGCGCCTTATGGTGACCAACGCGGATAGGAACTAGAAGTCCTCAAATTCGATTAGACCAGACGGGAATGGTCGAAGCTCAGCATCTCGCACTTCAGAGTCACCACCAGCAGCTACCGTTTATCGTCACCTTGGCTTACAATGGGTTTTTAAATGAGCCTGAGCATGGATATCCAATGGCTCCTTAAGCTCCTCATCAATTTCAATTTTTTGATGTTTGATAGAGAGAATGGAAACTGTCTTTGTTTCATTCAATGAGGAAGCCAACCAGTTAAAACCTAATCTATTTTTCAAACCCTTCAAAAATTGAATGAACAAGTATGCCTACTAACCCTGGGAAGCGTTAGTAACAAACAATTGCAGTCTAATTGTTTTACTTAAGATACAGATTCGAAAAACAGAAAAAAAAAGATAAAGGCAAAAAAGAAAAGAAAAAGCATGTTTTATCTGGTCTATGATTTTACATTTCATAGACATGATGAAATTATCATGTTTATGTGTATCTAAGTAAGATCATTATATTGCAAATATTTGTTATTAGAGTAATTTATGTACGGACACGAAAAAGAAGATAGGAAAATATGAAATGGTCCAAATTTTCACAGAAGGTCGGTCAATTTTTTTTTTTTTCTAAAATTGCCCCTCTGATGCCATCCTCGGACCATTTTTTATTTTTTTAGTTTTTCCATTAGTAGGTCTCAGTTCTACAGTGGTTCGAGTTTTAAAGCAGTATGAGGTCCCCATCCTCATATCACTCTTTGTTTCTTTTTTGTGGAAGAAAAGAACAGTCCGAATATGGGACCTCAGACCACTCTTTGGATTGAGCTAGGTGATCCCTACTAACGCAATAAACTAAAAAAAATAAAATAAAAACGGTCCGAAAAAGGCATTTAGACCAAGGGATAGTTTTAAAAAAATAAAAAAGTACGGGTTGATTGACTGTCAATGTAATTTTGACCCAAAATCAGCCCATTTCATATTATTTTATTTGTTTTTGTGTCTGTATGAAAATTACTCTTGTTAGTAATCACATAAATATTCGCTTTATAATCATCACATACTTCATATTCGGCTTCTTCGCTATCGCGTGTTGGCATGATGCAAGTTTAATCCAGGAGGAACTGGGTGTAACAATCTCAACCAAAGAAAAGGATCAATAATTCCTAAATAAGCTTCAAAGAAAACTGGTTAAATCAAATTCAGATATCAGAGTCAAAGCTTTATTTCCATTTAGATGAACCTAGCATTGCACGAGCTATACACAACCGAATATACAATAGAAAGTGTTTGAAAAATGGTCAAATTTGCATCGAAATCGCCTAATCCAGGTCGAAAATCGTCCCGGGCATTCAATATTTATGACCTATCAATATTTGTAGGTTAATATGACTATTTGGACAAACTTTTTGCTCAAATAACTATTCATTCTACTTAGAATGTTGGCTAATACATGTTAGTGTTTGCCAACTCGACGAGTCCAACTCAGAACCCGCAGGTCAAACTGGAATTGGGCATTGGCCAATCCAGGTTTTGATTATCCGGTTGAGTATTTAAAAAAATAAAAAAATAAATATAAAATCCCAAAAAATATTGGATTTGTTTGTAATGTATTTTTGAATGATTTTTTTTATCAATTTGGAAAGATTGGAAAGTGTTTTGCCCATCTATACCTATTTTTTCATTTTCTCATCTTTTTTAAAAAGTTTCAAAACTATACCTGGGCACAAATCAATTTTTTAAAACCCATGTTTTTCACTAATTATCAACTTCATTTAGATGTGTTTTATTTCATCATACTTTAAATATATTTTTCATATTTGTTTAAATTTTTTTGCATTTTTTTAACATTTTTTGGAATGGTCAAGACCTGCCCGGGTAGGCCGGTTGTACCGCCCGATTTACCTGTTACTCAGAACCGGCCCTTAGCCCGTTCCCGAGGCCGCTTGTACATGTACAGAAGCCAGAACCTAGGTCAAATTGGTAAAACAAAGCAAGTCCTGGAATCCACTTGCACTGAATTGTCTTCTTTAAATGTTAATGAGCTGAATTGCCTCTCTGTAATAGCCAGGAGTTGCTTTATTTTAGACAAGACAGTCAAAAGAGTCCTATATTTAGAAAAGAGTATAGGATGAAAATAATGGACGTTTAACAACGGTTAAATTTCAGTAAACTCCATATGTGGTTAAAATGTATAAATGCACAAGCCACAAGGTTTGCATGCATTCTTTAAGTTTTGTTTTTCACTGAAAAAAGTCCTCTTAATCTTCCTGAACTTATTGGCAACCATAGAACTCACAGGACAAGAAGGTAACTCAAACTAAACTTCTCATATGCAAACTCTTTAGTTTCATCATCTCTCATATCAATCCTGTTTGAAATGTGTCATTTTCATAGTCAATTTTCTGTCTTGTTATTTAAAATCTGAATTATATGATCTGCAGAAGAAGGATGGAAAGAAATTTTGTACTTGTTTCGGGTTTTTGATGATTGTTGTGATATCTACTTGCCATGGAGTTGGAGGAAGGGCTAACTCAGGGAACGATTTGGAGGCGAAGGCAGAGGCGCATTTGAAGCTTTTGAATAAACCTGCAATTAAAACCATTAAGGTTACATTTTTTGTTTTTTTCAAAAAATAGTTGTAGTCTTCTTCCAAATAAAATTTTAAAATGTTGAATGATAAATATGAGGCTTTCCTCATTGCAGAGTGAAGATGGGGATGTGATCGATTGTGTTGATATTTACAAACAACCTGCATTTGATAATCCTCTTCTAAGGAACCACACCATTCAAGTTTTATTTTATTTTTTATTTGCTTTTATTCCATGTAAATTGCTCTTTTGATACCCATTTTTTTATCTTTTTATTTTAGCATTTTTGCTAATGAAATTTTTGTTTTTTACTGGGTTTGGTCTCAGCAGTAAGTCATTTATTTTAGTATCTGTCATCATTAAATATGCAATCTAGTTGTAGGACATATGGTTTGCATGCCAAAAAGGAACAGTGTTGACTTAAATTTTCTCTCATTTTGTATGCAATGATGTATCAAGTCTACAGTTGTTGATGGCTCATCTTTGCCGTTGGTTGATAGGGTGGCAACGGGCTGGGCCTAGCCGGATCTGGACTCAGACCGAGACCTGTAAAAGCAATATGGTACTTGGACCCGATCGAACCCGTACCCAGACCTGGACCCGACCAATAAAATAAAAAATATATATAAAAATCCCGTCACAGACGTGCTAAGTCCATGACAGTCTTTAATCCATACTGTTCATTTCCGCCCATATGCATTTTTAAACAGTCGTGGGAGCAAGGCACACAGGGGATAGG